TTAGATGAAGTTTTGAACGACTAGTAGATTTATACTAAAACAATTAGATTATTCGCTCTCGATTTCTATGCGTGATAGTTGACTCGGGCTGCGCCGTCATCAACTATCACACGATAGAAATCTCGAACTCATAATCTAATTGCTTGATCACAGATGACGTCAAAATGTGGTAAGAACAAAAAAATTGGCAAAGGAGGCGATAGCTGATGTTCTTACCACATTTTGACGTCTTTTGTGATCTATTACTGAACAGACGCATGGCAACATGGAATTTATTTGTTTTATATAGCAAAGAAACAAAATACTGCAGAAAAAGCTTTTTTATTTCAAAATCTTTCAACATAACTTGAAAGCCGGCCTTTGCCCACTTTGGCAAACACGAAAATAGCAATTTGACGTAATCTGTTGTCTATACAAAATGAAGCAATCTCCGTGGTTGCCATGCGTAGCAAAGAATTGTCATTGGTCCAGCAAAATCACGCCACTGTCAAACTTGACTCGAGCGTCGCTTCTCGTGGAATTAAAACTTAGAGCGAAAGCAGAATTGAACAGCTGGAAATGCTGAAAAAGTTAAGTCAAGTTTTTCATCAGAGCAGCTCTATGAGCCGAAAAACTTGAACGTTGCCTTGAATATTCCGGGAGTTGAAAAATACGCTCGGAAAACTTGCGGTTGCGGTCAACACTGGAGGCCATCCGATTCGAGTTTTGAATGAAAGGAGCGTTAGTGACACTGCTGTGCCCTGAAACGGACTGGAACATTAGCGTCGGAAAGCAAGGTTACGTTTTAACTGATTTTAAGAAGAGATGTTTTGATGTCTCATCACTGACATCAGTCTGTGTCAACAATTATTTTGAGACTGAGAAACGATGAATTTTTTAAATAAATTAATCTCATAAACATTTTGTTTATTGGGTTTGCTAAAATTCGACATAGAGCAATGGTTTCTTACCTTAAGTAATTTCAAGACCAATTTGTGTTTGGTTTAGTCTCGCTCGACTGCCGACTGAGATTGCTCGCATATTTTTTCTGAGTCATTTTCTAAAAAAGAAAGGTTTTTTCTTCTTCCCGCTTCTCCTACCTGTTCAATGTCTCGACAAGACTTTTTTGTACTTTATCTTTCGCCCACTCACGAAAAATATTATCTTAATTCACAAAACTTTCCGCCATTTTAAAACACAGAGGGAAAATCTTTCTACTGATGGCGTCAGTCGTGCGTCTGTCCTCTAAAATATCATAAGCGAGAACCAATCAAAATGCGAGAATAATTTGGGATATTATATAATCTTTTGTAGATTGTGAGTAGCCTAGCAGTGTGCGGTTGTTAAGAATATGGTGGCCGATTCTGTGTGTGTCTGCATGTGAAGAAAGCGATAGAAATTTCGAGGTCATAATCAAATTGTTAAATACAACACGAGTGGATGGAAGTTTAAATGGACACTATCACGGCGATTTTTCTCCATTTTTGGTCAGAGCAGTGATAAAGTTATGGTCGAGTAGTCCCTCGCTCGTTTACAAAATGTTCCCAGAACAGCAAGATGAATATACTAAGTAAATTGCCGAAGAGGGAGTAATCTGTAAGTTCAGTTGAATCCCGATTTCTCAAACCCTCGATTTTTCGAACCTCCCGATAAGTCGAACCAAAAGTCGTTTCCCTCACCTCAGTCGAGAAACAATTTATGGTTGGCCATTCGTTTCAAAATTACGACAGGGTATACGCGGGTTTTTCTGCCGCGTATACTTG